CACAAAAGTTTTTCCAGCTTTGTTTGTTAACAACATTAACACTAGAGACATTGCAATGAATATTACTGGTGAGAAAGATGTTCTATTAAGTATCTGTGCCGATTATACAAAATCAAATAAACTAAAAAGTATATCTAATGCATTAGTATTTCCAACCGAAGATAAAGTCTTATTAAATTATTTTAGTGTATTAATAGTCACGTGAAACATGAGTAATGCTGGTCTACTACATTCTTCGAACTCTTTTACTATTATTTAACTTAATGTTCTTTTTGATTAGAAGAAAAGTTCAATAAATTTTACTTTTGAATTGATTTCTTTCTCAAATAATAAAAAATTTTAATTTAGAGGAAAATATCAATTAGATTTCAAAAGAAAAAGAATTTTACAATTACATATTGACGATAAAATTGTATCTATCAAAATTTCGTTTGAATCATTTTAGAATTCGTTTCTTTTTTTCGTTTCAAATTACTTAATACAAATAAAATAAAATAAACCATTTCAAACATAATAATCAATATTGTTTTTTGTTCTAATAAGAAATCAAAAAAAAGAAAATTTTAGTTTTAATTGAATTCTTTTCTTATAGGTTTTTATTACTCAGTTTTTAAATGAATTATTTCTATGGATGATTCATTTTTAGACTGTTTAAAAGAAATATAAAATAAAGTCTCTCCTCTCTTCAAAATCAACGATTTTGCTTTCACAATAGTTAATCTGAATGTCATGAGTTAATTTGCATTCAAATTAGTCTGTTAGAAACCATTTCGGCGACTAACTCAAAACTCAAGGTCGTCTATGTCTTATAGAATCATGAGAGACTCTTTTCATACAAAAATCTGTTTTATCTGCTCAAACTTTGAGGGTATGATTGTATAAATAAAACCTTTTGAGTGATGATAATGTTCAGTTTGAACGTTTTCTCAAGTTTGAAAAGAGAAATCTTGTTTATTAAAAGTTATAACTAATTTATAAAGCTACTTATTTATATATACTTGTCATAAATTAAATAAGTGGGAACTATTTAACCAGTCTGTAGTAAGATTGATGCATCTAGCATCTACCGATGTGAGTGGAATAAGAGTAAATATAACGGTTATATATGATTTTGATAGTAAGTAACCCTTCTTATCTGCATCTATATACACACATTGTTTGTTTTTTTTTCGTTCTTTTCTTCCCATTCTGATGTTTCGTTTTTTTATTCTTACTTTGTCATTCTGTGTATTATTCGTTATTTTTTCTTGTCTTACTTCGTTTGTTTCTTTAATCGTCACTCTCCTTTTTTTTCTGATTTATTCATCATATATCGTTCTTTATTGATGTCTTCGGTATTTCGTTTTTTTATTCAATGCAACACATGCCTATTCACAATTTACGATCATCGTATCATATATTGGACTTTGTATTAAATTAAAATATGATAGGTTTTTTTTTTGAAATTCGCAACATCAAAAAATATATTATATATTCAACTACTACCACAAAAATGTAATGCGTGGATTGTACAATGCCGCTTTTTTTTTGTATAAATAGTTACTCACTTATTTTTGTTCGTCACAAAAAACAACAAAATGGCGAGAGTGACTCATAGTAAATATTCTACGTTGCCATGCTAGACAAAATAAGTCTCCTGCTCATTGGATAACTCAATCGTCGTCCTTGGCTCAGTGCTTCCAAGGTACTACATCTACATGGAGTAAAGTCGCAAAATGTCGAAAAGACAAAACGTCGAAAATTAACAAGTTCAAGATCGTAAGATTTCGATCTTACTCAAAGTTTTCTTGAATCAGGGTTGGTACATAATTACTACATATCTCGACAGTGTGAGTGAGGACAAAATCTGTAGTTTTTAATTTACCGTTGAAGACTTTACAGAAAAATATTTTCGACATTTTGTCTTTCGACCTTTTGCCACTTAATTCTACATGGAACAATCATAAAATTATTTGTAAGACATATAAAAAGGTAGCAGCGTTTTTTTTTAATTTTTCACACGCGTCGTTTTTTCTTCTTTCGGACTCGTGGATGCAAATAGAGAACTGGAGAAAAGTGACCTGTCTACTTGATTATCATAAGCATTTTTTTCTTTATCATCTCTGTTTGTAGTATGCGCTACGTACCATCCTTATTGATTGACAATTGGCGTTTGTCACATTTATATTTCTATTCGGATGAACGAATCTATGCTCGGATTATGCTCATGCTTATAATCATCATGCAACTTATATCAGTTGGCTTAAGCGTATTATTCTCCTATTGGCACAATGCTCTTTTCAGTGCTCTTCAACAATTAGACCAATCTGCATTTGTTCGCTTAATATTTTACTGTCCTGTTATCATTTTAATAATAGTCGCTGTAGCCGTTTACAAAAATTACTTTGCGCAATTGCTTGAACTTCACTGGAGACGTTGGTTAACAAATTACTTCATGACTAATTATCTGGTAGAACATGCCTACTATGGAGCTTCGTTCAAGGCAAATCGTGACGATAATCCTGATCAGAGAATATCTGCCGATATCGCATCGTATATAACACATACGTCTGATTTGACAATTGGTGCAATCCACGCAATAGCTTCATTTATTTCACATGTGTTTATTTTATGGTCTTTATCGAGTGTGATCGAAATTCCTATAACACAATATGTCTCATATAAAATACCAGGTGGTTTGATGTGGGTAGCTATTTTTTATGCCGGACTCGGTAAGAGAATGCTTTAATCTACTTTAATATTCTGTAGAATACAAGCAATTAGGAAATCAATTTTTAACCGTCTATGGAGCTTTTGAGTAAGGAATATGTATTCTATTGTGTTTGACTATTTATATATTACTGACATTTCTACAATAAAATAAATACCGATGCAACTTTAAATCAATGAGGAATCTAACATATTTGATAATCCGAATTCATTTGAACTTGTTTGTCGTTTATGTTCTAGATCGTAGTCCATGAACAGAAGAATGTTAATCCATTATTGAAATGTTTTTCCTAATTTGAATTACACTAAAAGAGAAAATAAAATTTAGAAAAGATTCTGATGCTGAGTTCGACTTTACACATGTACTCTCATTTCAAATAATTGTCGCTAGATAATACCTTTCAGTAGAAATAAAGTGTATCACATTGAAGTGAATGTTCAATGCCATAGCTTTCTATAGTCGTCGAGTATATTCATTAGATGTGACCTATTTATAATAGTCATGTTATAGTGTATTTGCTTTGAAATGCATATCAGTACTTGATAAATGTAAGAAATTCATATCACTTTTTCAGGTACACTAATAACGGATCGCATTGGTCGCAATCTGATGACTTTAAATTATGAACAAGAACGTCATGAAGCCAATTTTCGCTATGAGCTCGCTCGACTTCGCGATCATGTCGAATCGGTGGCATTGTATCATGGTGAATTACATGAACATGCAACTTTAACTACACTGTTCTCTGCAGTTATGTCAAACTTTCGTGGGATTATGCGTTGTTCACTTAACCTCAATTGGTTCTCGTATTCATTTAGTCATCTATCAGATATATTTCCGTACCTAGTCGCTTCGACTCGCTACTTCTCGAAAGAGATTACTCTCGGTGATTTGACACAAATTGGATCATCTTTTACACGTGTACAAACATCGCTTTCATTTGTCGCCAAATCTTACGCTATAATTGCACAGTGGAGAGCCGAAACAAAACGGCTTATTGATCTAGACAATGCTTTACAGGATTTGCATGAAGCAAAGCGAAATTCTAAAATTAAAATTGTCCATAAATTGCAAGAACAGAATATTCGAATAGAAGGATTGACCGCACAATTACCATTAAGTATCGATGCTAATTCTCCACAAATACTCATTGCAAATTTTAATTGGATCTTTGAACCATATCAATCTGTACTTATCACAGGTGAGATAACAATCATAACTACACTTCATTTAACTAAATCTTTCTCCTAAAATTCTTTTGAATATGTCTAAGGTCCATCCGGTTGTGGAAAATCGACTCTACTTCGAATACTTGCTGGAATTTGGCCGTACGGTCATGGAACAATTACTATGCCTCTTAGTGATACAATCGAATTTATTCCACAAAAGCCGTATTGTCCACTTGGAGCTCTTCGTTATTGTTTTACTTATCCATCAACAACGCCACGGTTATCAAAGGACGATGCAAATATCGAACGCATAATGCGTCTTTGTCAACTCGAATCATTGGTAAATCGTTTAGATGATATTGAAGATTGGTCTCTCATACTGTCATCGGGCGAACAACAAAAAATGATTTTTGTTCGAATTCTTCTTCATAGACCGAAATGGATTTTTTTAGATGAAGTGACATCATCATTAGATGAAAGATCTGAAACATATTTATATTCGACTTTACTTCGAGAACTCGACTCCTATTCTACCATAATCAGTGTTGGACATCGAAAAAATCTTCAACAATTTCATCGAATTCAATTGCAATATGTTGATGGACAATTCACACAAGTTAATCAACTCATTGAGATTCAATAGAACATATTGTCTGTTTGATAGAAATAATTTTTTTGCAGTTTCTTGGGATGTCTTTTTAAAGAATTGACTAAATTAAATTAAAATTATGACTTTTGTATTCTTTCTTTCGTAGTATATACTCAATGAGGAAATGAGATAATATTGAATAGTAAAAAGAAGGGAGATACTCACCATACAGATTCCAAGCATGAAACTTAGCGTTGTTCTTGTAGTCATTCTACTTAAAAATAGCATGATAATCATGAATCGCAATAATCGAGGTTGTTGGTATCTTGCATATTTTTCAATCCACTCGAATGCCTCTCCCCATAATCTCAACACTCTCATGATAGATTCGTTTGACTTGACATATGAGTAGCATTTGTATATCTGTTTCGTTGCCAGTGCCAACTACTTCATCTTGTCGTTCTTGCTTTTCGTGAAAATTTATTCTGTCGATGATTATCTATTCTCTTGACTAGGAGTATCATATTTTCCTTACTATTACTAGTAAGTGGCAGATTTATCAGATCACCACGCAAGGATAAATAACTGATGGTTCAACTAACCGTTTATTATTCCTATAATAGAAAATTTTCAATAATAAAAATGCTTATTATTTCCTTAGTAGGTGGAACTGGGGGTAAGTAGTAATGTGGCATCCTTACTCTTGACGTATCACTTTCCATTTTTTTCCCCACGTGTTACTGTAGTTCCCATGAAGAGTGATAATAATTGAGGACAAGTTTGACAAGGTGAAACGGCGTACTTTTGTACTTAAAGTAACTTTGAGCTACTTTTATTCTTTGATATACTTATTCTACTTGAAGTACGCCGTTTCTCCCTTGTCACTAAGGGTGTAGGTGTGGGTGTGAAGAACCTGTCATGACCGATTTTGTTCTTGCTTTAAGGATTCATTCAGATGGCTTATCTATTCTGAATTTTCAGATAGGATCAAGAAAATCTAAAACAAGTCGTGTCTTCAATGTTTTGTTGTTGTTGGATAAGGCAGGATATTTGATGCTTCAGCATTCGAAAATAGATTGTGATTAGGCTTTTTTGATGGTTTACTGTTTTGTGGAACGATGTGATTAATCTTGTTTATATTTTGTTCGTTTCATGGTATGGTGGTTGTTTTTGATTGAATGTTTTCTCCATATATATTTGAATTGTAGATGTTTTCTTCGCTGTATATTGGTGTAGTGTTAAATGTACGTAGCTAAAGAGTGATTTGAAGAATTCGGGTCGAATCGGAATAGTTGTAGTGCTTACTTTATTTGAAATACAATGAAAATAGTGAATGATAATGAAGACAATTGAGCAGAGAGTGATTGTACTTCTAGTGTTGTGCATATTAAGATGAATATAAAATAAAAGTGATGTTATTAGAAATAGCGAAGAAAAGAAAAAACTGAGTTCCCAGTCGTTATCGAAGTTTATCAAAGTTTTTCGAATGTATTGTTTTCCGAAAAACAGGATTCGTATCGTTGCATGAAGATGTGGTGTGGGTGTGAGTTAAGAGAAGAACCACATCCACACCCCCACCCACCATCAGCAGTACACTAGTAGCCAAGGAAACACACAGGTGCTCACAAAAGGTGAGAATGTCACTACATAAGACACAATAAGAAGTTCGTTTTTTCAAATCAATGGCTTTTTCATGGGATATATAGATAAAAAAACAGCACAAGGTTGTTGGGTGTGTGGATGGGTGCAGATCTGGTTGTAGGCATTATTTATGTCATTACTCACTCACACCCTTCATTGCCTGTTGGAAGTTTGTTTTTTTCCAACTTTTAAAAGAAACAGAATACAGTCATTACTCACGTGGAGAAAGACTCACTTGAGTTTGTTGATAACATCGTGATAATTTTATCATTACTAATGTAAAAGCATGCGTTCCTATATAAAATAGTGCGAATAATCGTTATTTAATACCCATAAATAGTACGAAGCAAAGATTTTTACATTCGCGTATATTTAACTATGTCTATTCAATAAACTTGAATTTGATCGAAAAATAAAAATATTGAAACAAAAATAAATGCAGATAGAGTAATGGTGAAGGAGAAAGAGATTATTACAGGCATCCACTTTTATTTTTTACAATTTTATCTTTCGACACTATTCAGGAGATTCGTCTATTCCATTTTCCGATAATCTTTCTGGCAAACTTGTTTTATCAGTTTCTTCATCAGATCGATATCGTAATAGTTTTTCAATTACTTTGTCTTTTCTGCATTCAATTTCCTGCGATCGTGAATGCCTAAGATTGGTACAAATCGAATCCCAATTCCATCTCAAAATTCGGTTCTGATCTTATTTGTCGATATATTCGTCCCGAAGATAATACTTCATTTCTTTCAAACTCTTTTCTATCTATCTCACATAAGACAAGATATACATCCATTTTATCTAAAAAGAACATACGCGAAACGAAAAGAGAAAAAAATCTTCATTAAACAAATGGGAAAAAACACTTTTTTGCTCTCTTTCGTTTCTGTATGTGACACCAAAATGAGTTTTTATTTTTGAAACATGACGCATTATTATTCGATGACGTTAAGATTAATCATTAACTAGTTGTCTGAGACTTTTCATTTTTTTTTCTTGTTCTTTCATTATTGCATTGACTGTTATTGTCGGAATTTTATCGTAATAATGTTTATTGATCGAAGGGAAACACGTTTCAAAAAACAAAAAAAACAAAATATATTTGCAATTACATTCTTTCTTAGCTGATTAGAAGAAAAAGAGAACGTGAAGTAACGACGTCTCTATTTCATACAAAGACAAAAATGTCTCTTATCATACGAGATACTTGTATTGTATCGAAGTTATACTGACCGACAAAGTTATAACTTCCTAGTCAGCTAAGAAAAAAATGCAAAATGTAATAAATTGTAAATGTCTCTTCGTACATTTCTTATCTTTGCTCCATATCTACTTATATTTTTATTTCCATTTTCAACTTGTCACATTTAAAAGTGGTATAGTTTATTCTGTTTTCAAAATATGCAGAAAAAATCAATAAGCTACGTTTATACGTCCTTGTTTATTGTAGATCGATATTTGGTTTAAAAGTTATCATGGAAGATAGTGTTCAACTTGATGATGATCCAGTTCCATTGACTGATAATCTATTTCCATCGACTAAAGAACAATTGGATTTAGGTGATCGTGTAGAAGCAGATCAACTACAACGACAACCACCATTATTACAAAAGCGACAACTGTCAAACACAACTGTTCATTCCTTATTAGAAGCAGAAACTGATCCTGATGCTATCGAATCATTGGAATTAGTGTTAAACAGTGTTGTCAAGGTCTTTTGCACCTCAACACCGTGTAATTTTTATTTACCTTGGTAAGTCAGTTCAAGAATCAAATTGGGTTAAAATCTAATATAGAATCGCATAGCTTCTATATTTCTATAAAAATTTGCGTCTTTTAAGAAAACCTGGGCTTTCGATAGGCAGTCGTTAAGCTCGTTTGCTTATAACAAAACTTCTTTTTAATGTGTTTAAAGATAAAATTGAATAAACCTATTGTGTTTTTTAATAGGTGCAAACCAGACAAATAACTGACTAGTCGTAGTTTTTGCCTTCTGTCGTGAATTATTTGTTGTATATTTGATTGAAAACATATCAATCCCAAGATTAAACTGGACTGATTTTTGTATTTAAAATATTGATACAAGTCCCAATATATCCTTCTATGTTTCAACTAATCTAAAAAAACAATAAAGAAAAAAGTGTTGTTTCCTTCTAAATAAAAAAAATCTGCATTATAAACTAAGACTTAAATATGCCATTGTTTTTTTTTTTGTTATTTAGGCAAATGAAACGTCAAGTCACTACAACCTCATCAGGATTTATAATAAAAAATCGATGGATTCTATCAAATGCTCATGCTGTTTCAAATCAGTCGAGTACTCGTATTCGAAAACATGGTGATGCTAAAAAATATCCTGCACGTATATTGCACATTGCACATGAATGTGATTTAGTTATCATGACTGTTGATGACGATAAATTTTGGAATAAATTAGAACCATTGACATTTAGTAATGATATACCTAGATTACAAGAATCAATAACAATTGTTGGATATCCAGTAGGTAAATGAAATTCACGTTATTTTTATATTCTAATTTCATTTGCATTTGTTTATAGGTGGCGATAATTTATCAGTGACAAAAGGTGTTGTTTCAAGAGTTGTTATGTCAACTTACTCGCATTCACTTGAATTTTTGTTAACAATACAAATTGATGCTGCAACAAATCCTGGTAACAGTGGTGGACCAGCTATTCAAGGTACGAAAAAACAATTTTGACGAATTAGTTCATAATTTTCTTCGAGGAAAATCTTATACTCAGAAGAAAGAGTACAGAGATAGATACAATTTTACTCTTACTTAACAATGTTAAAAATATAATAGACTGACTCGACTTAAATTGTGTTCCTATCTTTCTGTGGAAAATGTCTTTATTCTATATAACAGTGTTCAACAAGGTTTTTTTCAAAAGAAAAGAACTTCATTAATAGTTTATAGCTATAATCAATACTAACAAAAACTTCGTTTTGAAGACACAAACCTCTAAATTATCAATAAAAATACAAAATCAGTATGTCTCGTACGCTGTTACGCCCATTATAATGAAAATTCAGTCCGTTTCTAATCTTTTCAATTTTCACAGATAATATTTTCTAAACATTGAATGTGATCTAGCATTTTGATGATAAAAATCATTTTTCCACATAGTGACACTGACGTTTTTGTTCACACTTACACCCGCACCCACCATGCTGACTAAGTTGTTAAATCCAAATAACTTGAATAGTTCACCTCAAATTTATATGTTCGATAAGATGGGCTATCGAATTTACAGATTTTGTAAATATGCTAATTTCGATACAACATGTGTATAATCTTTAAAAATTATCATTTTTATCTTTGTGAAAAAAGAAACTGTTCTGAGTTCATTTAATAATTTCTTCGATATAAAATCAAACGTAAA